AGAGGGTTACAGCTGGTCGTTCCCAAGCCACTTAAGCGGTTCTGTCTGTTTATAGCAGGGTGAAACATCGTTGTGGAGTTCCCAGTGGGGAATTCCTATAAAACCACAGAAAAAGTCCCCTAACTGCCAAGCTCTCTTGCTTCGGAAGCGCTAAATATTCTATCGGGTCGGTGGCCATTCAGGCAAGTGTATTATGTATTTCAGACACCCTAGAATCTTACAGATAAGTTTTATTTTTGCAAGGAAAGAGCTGGACACGCACGTGAGTTCTAAGAATACAAGCTAAAATATTGGGTTAGCCCATAAATAATTGCGTTTTTTCTCAAAAAAAAACGCGCTAAATGTGAGAAGTTTTGCTACTGAATTGCTTTGCTATTCGCTACCGTTTTGCAGAGAACTTCTTGCCCTACAGGACAGTCTTTATAGTTCTTTTTGAAGTTTCTGTTTTCATACTTAGGCGCTCGAACTGGAGTGCCAGTTTTTGAGCAAAATTGAGCATTTTTGACCACCTCTCTTTTTTAACTCTAATAAAAAAGCAAACACCGCACCCGCACAGCTGCTAAGTATAGTATGGCCAAGAGTTTATGCCTCTCAGAAGTGCTTAGAGTGGTTTATCCAATTCGAAGTTTTCAACTGTGACCTCGCAAGCAAGCATCGAACCTAATGCCCTATTGAGTTCAACTGAAAGCTTACTGCATCACCTTTTTCACTGAGATTCACACCAAGGATGGGAAATCGTTAGAGGCCATGGAATTTTCACTTTTTATGTGGGGCCAACCCAATATTCACATCTGAAGTGAAGGATCACGAAAAAAATGAGGAGGAACGGACTTTAGAGGTTCCTAGTAACGCTATTCATAACCATCGCAACGATGTTAATGTATCAAAAATAGGAATAATCAGGTATTTTCCTCCGCAAACCTAGAAGAGTGAGATTACCTGTGGAAGGCACTCGTTATTTGAACCGTAGTAGTTATGGAAAACCAGGCAAACGACGCAATTCGGTGTTCAGCACTTCCTCGCTTGCAAGACCTTCACTTCTCGAGCTTCTTTATGGAAATCTCGATGAAGGCCCACTTTGAGCTGAGCCATTAGCTTTCCACCTTGATTCCTTGAGGGGACATTGATCCACCAACCTTGTTGTCACTACACTTTTAGTGAACAAGTTCTTGCTTGAAGTAATCTCGGCATTATGTGTTGTCATACGGTGGTGGGCTGACCTTTGAGGACGACCATCTAATCCAAATCTCAGGCCAAATTCAATAAAGAGTTGCACCTAATGGCCACTCTAGTACAAGAAATCAAAGAGAAGTCACAACTATGCCTTCAAGTAGACCAAGGCACTTTGTGTTGTCATCATAGAATATCACAAATCAGTCGATCAGAAATCTCAAGTTACATACATAATATGACTAGCCGCCCCACTGAACCCTTTAGCGGACCTCTCCTAACCGAATGTGCGCTGAAATGAAGCTGGAGGGTATTGATAGCTAGAGGACGTTTGAGACCCCACCTACTAATCACAATGTGCGTCATGTTGGTAAGGTTCCGCGGAGAACACATGTCACCAGCGACCATCA